TACAAGAAACTTCATCTGCGACCCTAGGGCCTGGTTTTAATTGTTTTTGGTCAACCATTCTTCTAAGTGGAAAAACACTGGTCTGCCCTTTGCTGATGGTTGCTGTGATGCTGAACACTGTGATAACTAATGCACCAAATGATGTGATAATGGTTACCCATGGTGGACAGTGCTTGGTGGAGCTCCCCTATTAGAACAAGCTTGGAGCAGGAGTGGCATTCACTTCTGAATTACTTGCCTCTGGAAACTGTATGAACTTAACGATAAAGTTATGCCAGTGTTCAGGACTTTCATTCATTGGGTCGCTATGAGCTGTCTACCACTCAAGGGCACTTGACAACAACAACAATTCACCTAATAACTATTGTTGTTAGCTTCTTACTCATAAAGAGACACTTGCCCATTTGAGGCTAAATTCTGTGCATACATGCTCTGTGCCAACTTTCAACCCAAATTTGGTAGAAAGAGTTCTCTACACTGGCAAAACCCCCGAAATTAAGGCATGATTTAAGCAAAACAGTAGCTGTTGCCAAGCAGCGGTGCCTTGACTGCTCTCTGGCCAGTAAGCACAATTTTTATTTAAAAGGTATTTATTTTTAACAGAATTAAAAACGTCAAGCTTCTCTCATTTGGGACATTCCTTAGTAACTACTTATAAGGCTTTGAAAGTGATTTGTTCCATCAAGGAGAGAGAAACGCAGGCACTTTCCCACTGCTTTCAACACGTATACGTTTCACACAAAGGAGCAAAGCAAAGAACAAAAGCGGAGTGTTCTACTTGGTAAATGAATAACAAATTGCAGCAAGAGCTAAATTCCTAAATTCTGTGGTTTCCTTTCATAAGTCTTTTGCTATTAAGCTTCGGATGACATTTGGGGGAAGGTCTGTCCTCCCATCAGTCAATGATTTTAGGAAATACTATAGTCGTTAACAATCCAGGCTTAATTGCCTTGGGGGTCACATTTCAACAGGAGTTAAAATAGATGTTATGTGGTTCCTCGGCCCCTGGAACTGCCTGCGGTCCTAAGGGACACGCCGGACCAAAGTGACTCGACTCGAGCCTCCCCGGGCCCCCGCTGTCCCCTCACAGGAGCCTGAAAGCACGGCCGGAGACCCTCCCCTCCAGCTCCTTACAGTGCGATCAAGGGTCCGAAACGGGGTCGTCTCCGAACCGCTCACCTCCCACCTGCAGCCGAGAGCGAACAGTCACTCCTCCCTCAGGGCTGAGCGGGAGCGCGCCTGGGGGGGCGCATGCGCACCAAGGCGCTAGCCTGGCCCTCGAGCGCGCGCGGAGGGTCCCCACCTGCCTCCGCTCCACGCTGCGACAGGTACTGACAGGTCCCTACCCGCAGTGCTCTCGGAGCCCCTTCCGCCTGAGTTATCAGTGAAGCATGCCCTGCTTAGCCCAGCCTCCCGGCGTCCCTCCGGTGGGTCGCTCGAAGGTGAGTCCAGGAATAGGGATGGGGCCGTAGAGCCGCGCGCTCATTGGCTGAGGCGTGCCAGGCCCTCCTCCCCACGGCGCCTGCGTGCAGCCGAGCCGCGGGTTAGAGCCGCTGGGACGCTGCCCCGCGCTGACGTCAGCGCCCTGGTGACCGCAGGGCGCGTGCTCGCGAGGGCCCGCCCCTCGGCGTGCCTCCCCGCACGTCCCCGGGGGCCCCGAGCTCAGTTCTGCGAGGGCCCGGCCGCCAGGCTGAGTCCTTCGAGGTGCTTAGGATCGGGTCGTGGACAGTGGGACAGTGACGGGCCAGAGGGTCAGTGGGGAGGATGGGGAACGCAGCGCACGTTGGCCACGCTGGTCGTCTGAGAGTGACTCCCAGTCTGAGTGACTCCAGAGTTGAAGCGCCTCGTTGAAATCCCCTTTTTTCTCTAAATAGAATTGATTTTCAAGAAATGTCTTTCCTCTGGTTTGCATTGCCCCTTTGACTTTGGTCCTTTTTTTATCTGAGTTGCTCTGCCAACCCAAAATCACTTGGTTTGAATCCACTTTCTGGCCCAGGTCCAGGGGCGGAAGATGCTCAGTCTCCTTGCGTTTGATTTGTTGTTGCTGTTGATTGCCGTCAAGTTCAGGTCAACTCATAGCGACTCTGTGAACAAAAGACCTAATGCCTTTCCATAGCTACTGTTCTTTCTCCAAGTTCATTGAGTTTACAGAGGCATGAGATTTAGGAAGTGGATGCTACTCTTTGACAAAGTGATGCACAAAGTGGAAGAGTGTTCCTCCAGATAAAACAGCACTAGTCTCATTTAGCAGTGGGTAAGTGCTGTCAAGTCGAATACGACTCAGAGTAAGCTTTGCACAAAAGACCTGAACTCTGTTCTATAATTAACATCATTTCTGTACATTTATAAGAGTTTGTAGAGTTTCCAGAGACATCCAGTATAGGAAGTGGATGCCACTCCTGCCTCCCAACATGAATCAATCTAGAAGTTCATCTGAACATTGTACATAATGGGTAAACATTATGGTATTTGACACGACTATGAAAGTGTTCAGCATCACAGCAATTCCAGGTTGTTCAGTACAGCAAATAGACAAATGACTGCTGTGTCTTTTAAAGAATATTCATTCTAAAATTACTACATTTGGCCTGAGGGTCCTACAGGATTTTAAAGCCACACCCTTAAGCAGGCCTCCATCCTTTGTGTAAGGCTCAAGGGCCACCCACTTTTGAGGAGGAAGAAAGAACAGTAACACACCACACACACGACTCCAGAAGCTTGCCTTACCCTTACATGACTGCCATCAAGACGCCAGCTAGCCAGCCAACTTCCCCGTTTGATTTACAACCTCTGAAAACCCAGGTGGAGGGTCAGCTATGAGCCAGTTACCATTCGAGGGCACCTATGAGCATTCTCTCCTATACACAGCGGATACATAACATGTAATTTTGGCTTTTTTCTGTGTCTAACCCAGTGACTTTACTACTGCTATTCACAGTGTTGTGTAGCTGTAATGAATCACTTTTCCTCATCCCACACAGAAGCACTGAATTTCATTGAATATTAACTTCCTCTTCTCCTTTGCTTCCACTCCTACTTTCTCCCTGAGTTTTAGCATGGGGTTTTTCCTTGTTAGATTCCCTTGGAAACTGCCAGAGAGAAAATTCAACAAGTACCGTTGTGGCTTCTCCCCTGGCCGGACCACCCCTTCCCTCATCTCCTTGCTGTGGCTTTGAGCAGTTTTTAGGGATATGGAAGCCTCTATTTGTACTAGCTCTAAGTTCTCAGGTTATCTTTAGAATTTAATCTTGCTGTTTGTGATCCATTCTGTCCTCCTTTTCCTGAAAGCTCTTCCACATCGCTTCTCTCTGGTATGATGTGTCCTTCCCACTCATATTTAGATAATGGTGTACTTCTTACAATTCCACTTGTGTTGATGGATTCAGGGCAACCCCATGTGTGTCAAGGTAGAACCATTTCCAATGTCTCACATACTTTTGGCATGTCAAGAGAGGCCAGTCCTTGGGGAAAAAACGACATCGTGCAGGAAAAGTAGAGAGATTCAGTGAAAAAGGGGAAAACCCTCAATAAGATAGATTCACACAGTGATTCCAACGGTGGGCTTGAGCATTCGGGAGATGGATTTGTGAGGATGGCACAGGATAGACAAGGTGTTAGCCGTCAGGGTCGCTGTGAATTTGACTTTATGGAGCCTAACAGTAGGGTTTCTATCACTGGGAGAGGTAACCAACCTTGATGGTCCAAGAGGTAAGTAGGAGGCTGCCAGATTAAAGGTTTGTTTCAATTTACCAGCAGCTATGAAACCTGGTGATCTGATCCATTTGATCCTGTAAAATTTCATTTTAAGAAATCTTATGGAATAGTTGTACTATCTTATACGGTCAGTAAATTGGAATAGGCTCTAGGACACACCACAGAATCTAACTGCCAACATAATAATCTTTCTTGTCCTTGAAGGTACCAAATTTAATGACTTCCTGTTACCTGGTGTTTTCATACTAGACAAATGGGTAACTTAACTCCGCATAGCCCTTTCATCAGTGTTCACTCCACATTTACTTGTAAGGCAGTTGTGAAGGACTGAGATTTACTTTTCTAGACTTTGTGCTTTATCTCTATTTTAATAATGCTGCTGCAGTTATGGTATTTTGAGAATTCCCTCTCAGTTCTTCTAGATGAGTTAAAGCTTATTCTTTAATTCCTCACTTTAAAGTCAGACTTCTGATGACTTTAGGAGTTTTAACTTCCTAATGTGGTTGGAAAGGAATAATCTATTTTAAGATATTTATATGTTGACATGTTTATTTATTTTATTTAATCATAATTAATGTAGCATACAGCAATTATAAATTAAAAATATCTTACCAATACAAAGTTCATTAAAGGAAAACTACTCTGAGAGTAATGTCACATTATTGCAGTTATAATCAGTTCAATTACTTTTCAATTCATGGGACTATTCCTGATACAGATGTAGAATAGGCTTTAGAAACTGGACTGTTGAATTGGGGGGAAGGGGTTGTGCAGGGAAAAAAGTGCAACAATGAATGACTGGAAACCC